TATATAGAAAAAAAAAAAAACATTTGACATTTTGCTTATAAATTGTAAGCTTCTTATAAATTATATTATAAGTACAGTCGAAACGGAAATGAGCTAAGAGAAAGTATGTGAAAAACAAATTCAAACTAGTTAAACATTACTTTTAGGTTTAGGAACAGGAATATCGATATACATATATCAAAAGATATATACTCTATTTATATATATTCACTTGTTAAGTCGATTGCTTTTTGTACTTTGGTATGAGGGGTCGCTTCTGGTAGCTGCCCTCGAGATATTGCCAGACGCGCTTGCGCGCCTTCAGAGTGCGCGCCGCTTCCTCCTGCTCCTCGTGCAGAATCTTCTGACAATCGGCAAGCAAAGATTCCAGCTCCAGCTGGTCAGCAGGAGGAGTCTCCTTCGACTTGGCCACGGCCTCGTCGATTTGCTGAAAGTCTATGTCCAGATCGGGTCCCCAAACCGGATCGTTCTCGCCTTTCTCCACCGCCTCGTCCACTTCATTTGGATCAATATCGGAGCCCCAGTCGAGATTGTCGTTGGGCAGTTTGGCCATGCGACAGGTTTGACGCAGTTTAGCCAAACGGGAATTGGGCTGAACGGTTATTGGTTGAGCTTTCGCTTGCTCCTCGTCCAGCCAGCAGCAGCCCTGCAGCGTCACCTGGGGCATGAGGTAGCCAAAGGTGCTTTTCGTGCTGCGCTGGTAGTCATCCTTGATATAGCCTAGGGATTTGAGATGCTCTGCCAGGGCCTTGAACCACGCTATGGAACGGTGTGAGCCCTTGCCAAAGTGCTCATGGCTGCGGCACTCGCTGCTGATGCACTTGCTCCGTGAGCCACGCAGCGCCATGATGAGTTTGCCCAGTCCCAAGCGCCCATTCAGATCCCGCAGCATGCCCAGCAGCAGACGGGATTCGTCACTCACGTCCAGCGGAGCGGACTCCACCTCGACAGCTGGCTTCGCTTGCCGGGCCTTGCGGCAGTTGTCACAGCAATTAGGGCGCTGCTGCAGTGTGGCCAACGACGCTCGGTCATCGAAGTAGTTGAGTATATATTGGCGTCGACATTGACTGATCTGGGTATACTCCAGCATTGCCTGGGCCAGCTGCTGCAGCTCCTCGCTGCGCTGCGCCGTCACAGGCTGGCTGTGCTGCAGTCGCCGGTGGATCGCCGCATCCGCCTCGCTGTAGAAGAGCACGCACTTGGCCGGCAGGCCGTCCCGGCCGGCACGTCCTATCTCCTGGTAATAGCGCTCCATGTCGCTGGGCGCACCGTAGTGCACAACCAGGCGCACATTGGGCTTGTCAATGCCCATGCCAAACGCTGTGGTCGCCGCCATAATTTGCACCACGTCGCTGGCGAAGTCCTGCTGATTGCGACGCTTCACCTCCAGCGGCAACTTGCTGTGGTAGCTGTGGCAGGGTTTTCCCCGGCTGGACAGCTCCTGGGCCATGTGCTCCGTGTCGCGTATTGTGTTGCTGAAGATGATAACGGCGCCCGCTGCTTCGGCAGCCCAGTTCAAATATTGCTGCAGATCGGACCACAGGTTCGAGCTGCGCATACGAACCGTTAGCTCAAGATTGGGTCGATCCAGGTTGCTACACAGCACCAGAGGTCTGCGCATCTGCAGCTGCTCGCAGATGTCTAGGCGCACACGCCGCGTAGCCGTTCCAGTCAGTGCCAGGATGCGCACCTGGGGCACAGCTGAGCGCAGCTGGCTGAGCTGCCGGTAGGCGGGACGAAACTCGTGGCCCCATTTTGAGATACAGTGTGCCTCATCGATGGCGATTAGCGCAAGATTGTGGCCCAGATCACGCAACATTTTGAGGCCATTACCACGGGTGATGTACTCCGGCGTGGCGTATACCAATTTGAACTGAAGCGCCAGGATGCGCTCTTTGATCGTCCGATCCTCCTGCGCAGTGCCCAGCAGGCAGGCACATGGCCCAGACTTGGATCTCTCGTTCAGTGCGTTTACCTGATCTTCCATCAATGCAATCAGCGGCGATATAACCACAACCACCTTATTTAAGTAAAAGGCTGGAAACTGATAGCTCAACGATTTGCCATAGCCGGTGGCTATAACTGCGCACACATCGCTGCCACGAGGCTGGGCTATCAATGCGCGTATTATCTGCCATTGGAGCGGCTTGAACGTATTCAGACCGAAGTGTTCCCGCAGACAGTTGGTGTATTTCTTTGGTTTGGGCAGCATAAAAAAGAAATTTTAATTGCTTTGCCGGCTAATTCTGATTGGAGTACAACTACAATACAGTACATTAGAGATGAGCGTTTGATGCGCACGTGCGGCTGCTAATGTAAACTTTATATCTTTTAAGCTGTTTCTCTGCTTCCTACATGTTTGTTCCATGTGTTCGTGCACCTGTTATGTCATATCGCAGCATGTTTACAATAAGATAATGTATACATAGTGCATTGCTTCGAGCAAGTGCACAGCTATCGATAATTCGTTAGGAATAGCGAGGATACAATTCCAAATTAGCGACATCTGTCGGCTAAATTATTAATAATGCCGATAGATGATAACGATAGTTGATGTATGTAAATAAAAGATAAGCAAATCGCGAAGCCCAGCTGATGCTGAGCCATCTCTAGAGTAGTGTAAACAACAAATCCATATACACATACACATATTTAGCTATTATTGTTATTAAACAAACAAACGAAACGATGKCGAAAATAGGCGAAACAAAAATACCAATTAATGAATTCCTCGACGCATACAGACGCCAACCATGCCTCTACAATTCACTATTGGACACCTATAAGAATCGTGTGGCCCGCGAAGAAGCATATGAAGCGATAATTAGAACATTGAAAATACCGCAACTGACAGTGCTCGATATTAAATTGAAAATCAAAAGCGTACGCACCGTTTACACAAAAGAATTACGAATATTGATGCGAGAGAAGGAGATGGGCCGATGCTATGAACCAAAACTATTTTGGTTTAAGCGCGCAGATGCATTTCTGCGCGCCGTTTCGCTATCCCATTGCAAACGCGTAAGTTGTCCAATAACAATTTTGTTTGCATGTATGTATGCACATGGATCTATAAACAGTAAATCTTGTAATAGGTTAAGAGCAAAGATGCAAAAGTAGTCATCAAAAAGGAAACACCACAGAAAATGGTGCTCAATGCCGCTAGCCAGATAATTCAGGATGCAGTGCAGCAGCAAGAGCAACAACATCAGACGAAGGATAATCATGATGAGCTGGAATCGAATGGTCATATAGATGATGTATTTCATACGGATGTGGATGAGCATGCTAAAACGACTATGACCACAGGCACTAATACCAATATACCTCCAAACGCAAGCAGTCAAACGGACGATCTACAGAGCATCTGCTCGGCACACTCCATACGCAATAAAAGTGAACTCATCATTGACGACTCGCAGCTAGGCCTTATGGAACAGCAGCAACAACAGCAGCACCAGCAACAACAGCAGAATCAGCAGCAGCAACAGCAAACGTTGCCGCGTAAATTAAAGTATATGAACTATGGGCAAAGCCAACAACAACAGACACAGAGACTAGCAACGCCCTTTCCGTCACCATCACCATCACAACATTTGGAATTAGCCACAAATGGAAATCCAAACTTGAGCTTCTCTGGCGGCGATGATGATCTGTTTGCCTTTGGCCAAAGTATTGCCTCACAATTAAGGTCGATAGTCGATCCATATGCCCGGTCCGTGGCGAAGCTGCGCATACAGCAAGTCCTCTTTGAGGCAGAGACCGGCCAAAGTAGCGAAGCAGTCAATACGACGCATCTGCATAGTTTTTAGCAGTGCAACAAAAAGACCACTATAAATCTATAAATCATTGCATTTAAGATTGTTGTTTAAATGTTTATTTATATTTAGTTCAACATATTTGTAAGAAAACCAAGCCAAATATATGTATATTAATTATAATTAATAATTAATTTAGAATATAATATATACACATCTGTGCATAGGTGGAAAAACTTAATAGTTCTTTAATTATCATTAGTTATTTGAATAATTAATTTAAAAAATGTTTTATACGAAATATTTAAAATTTACTGGTCAGGCTTTATGTCTACATGTAAAGAAACATTACAAAATATATACTCGTATATGTGGCTGATTTAGTTATTCAAAAATTCCGAAAAGTAGGTCTTGATTCTACCGACTGTAACTCAAATACAATTTCGGCTAAACAAATTTGCGCTCGTTGTAACAATCATTTTATTATATCGCATTTAGTATCGATAAAAATTTAAGCATCTCTACCATATAGTGCAGCCACCAATTTGTTTAATCACAGTGCTGCCTAGTCAAGTCGTTTTTTTGTTGTTTTGTTTTGGTTGAATGAGCGAGCTCATAAGAACGGAACCAAGTGGGCTATATTCAAAAAATTATATAAAATGTTGTAAGTTTCCTTTCATTTTTTATTTTCTTTTTGGCTGACACATATTCAATTTTATTTTGTTTTATTTTAACACATCCAAAATTGTAATAACTATATACTTATTTAAGCTTCAGGTGTCAACTCAAATTCACCATTTGCTTTATGTCATCCATGATATGTAACGAGAATTGAAATTGCGCATAAATTCAGAAAGTATCTCTTATATTATTTTAATATTATTGGAAAGAAGTTAAGATACTTACGGGTAAGCACAAAATCCGTACAATTCCATACCCAACTTTACTTTGCCTTTACATATTGACACTCACATTCAAACGAACAACTGCGCGTTGTGAGCGAAAGATATTTGTTCGCATTGTGGTAACTCCAATCATTGAACCACAATTGTTCACAAGCTGCTCTGGACAGCGATAGTGTTGTTTCTAAAGTATAAGTGTGTAAGTGCGTGCTGAGGGAATTTAACAAACTGAAATTACAATTGTCGAACCAAATAAGAACGTTTTTAGATCGAATATAAGATAACAATAACAGCAGCAATATGCTGCGGTTTAATGTAAATGTAAGTATCGACCATTCGTTTTTTACTTAATGCAGTTTGCTACACACATGCTAGGTGCATTGTGTGGCCTGTGGCAATCTTTTTTTTTTGTTTTTTTTTTTTTTTTTT